ACCACTGCATTCCAGCCTGGCCAACAAAGTAAGACCCTGTCCCCCTTGCTGCTCCCCACCTCCTCAAAAATAAAAGAAAATTTCAAATTAAAAAAAAAAATTCTCCATTTACAAAAAAAGGACAGGGGGCAGGTTTGCAGATCACAGAACTTTTATTAAGATGGAATCACTGCGAATTACATAGAAGCTACCAGCCTAAGCCAAAATCCATGAGGTTCATGTGAACTTACAGTTACACAAATAAGAAACAAATGGTATATCCAAAACCATAAGGAAATATTCTGATGCCCAGAAGATGAAGGCTGGGGTGAATAAGTCCACACATTTATTTCAAGTTGTTAAAGAGTTTGTGGGCCACCTAGATAGGGGAAAGAAAAGGAGGTAATCAATTGGCAGCTTTAATGTCATGGCTTACAAGGTCCTTCAAGACCTGAAACTACTGCCTCTCTTCTCACAACTCCCCTTCTCACATATGCACGCAGCACTTGAGTCCTAGTGAACGCCCTACTTGTTTCATCTTTTATTCTTCCTTTAGAATATCACAAGTAAAAAAGTTAAATACATATAAATAAATATTTGTGGGTGTGATTTTTGTGTGGCTTAAAATCTTAAACTGGAGCAGGATTGGCCGGGCACCGTGGGTTTCACAGAGTGAAACCTTGTCTCAAAAAATTAAAAAATAAAAAAGAAACCAATAAGTAGGGGAAAGAGATATAAAGAAAGATATAGGCTGGGTGCGTAATTTTTTTTTTTGAGACAGAGTCTCACTCTGTCCCCCCACCCCGAGAATCAATTACAACCAAAATAAAAGAGCCTTTAATAGGTATTGTTAAGTACCCCCAACTACTGTGAAACTTCAGCAAATCACTAGCTGGGTACACCTGTCCTATATTAAACCTGTTTCTTATGAGTCCCTGTAGGTGTAAAAGGAGGACATCATGACCTACACTTGTGAACTCTTATAAGACTTAAAGTTGTTATTTCACAAACACAAAAATAAATAATATTACAAGGCAGAGTATGTGCAGTATTAAACTATACGTGTTATTCTCACCTGTTTGTTTGTTTTTTTTACCTTTCCTAAGACTTTTAATGCAATTCTATTATCACTAATTTTTGGCCCTTGCTTGTTTAACCTCCTAGTAACTTTTGTGTCTTCTAGACTACAATAATTCCACATGAAAACAATGCTGGCACAAGGCTTCTAACCCATCCCTTCTTCTGACCTAGAAAACAAAAACAAGCTGCTATTAGACCCATCAGATTAGGTATCCAGAGATTGTCACTCCTCCAACGCTAGGCAGGGCCTATGACCATAAAATTAGCAGAAAACAGCTACAGAAGATGGCCCTCTGCCCTTCTGCGGCCCATTTAAGTTTTTTTTTTCTAAGAGAGTCTCACTCTGTCCCCCAGGCTGGAGTGAAGTGGTGCTATATTGGCTCACTGCAACCTCCTCCCGAGTTCAAGTGATTCTCCTGCCTCAGCCTCCTGAGTAGCGGGGACCACAGGCCTGTGCCACCACGCCCAGCTAATTTCTGTATTTTTAATACAGATGGGGTTTCATTATGATGGCCAGGCTGGTCTCGAACCCCTGGCCTCAAGTGATCCACCTGCTTTGGCCTCCCAAAGTTCTGGGATTACAGGCCTGAGCCACCACACCCGGCCACCCCTTTAAGATTAAGGAGGAGTATCTAATCTCTGAGGGGGAATGAAGTAGGGGACTGGCAGAAATTATTTCCAGGTCCCAAGATCCCACTTGGATAAAATGAAGAAACTGGCAGGAACCAGCAGATGGCAACAAAAGCTATCCCTAGCTACCCTCACTGGTCATTAGCATAAGATACTTCCTCTGGGGCATGTTTACAGATGCTAGGCAATGACCAGGAAATTACTGCCCCTTTCCTAGAAAGTTAGGAATAACCTGCCCCTCAATTTGCATTAGCCTGCTTCTTAATTTGCATGTAATTAAAAGTGGGTGGAAGTGGCTATAAATACAGTTGCCAACAGGACGAGAACTGCTCTGAGCACACTGCCTATGAGTTGTCTCTGCTCTACAAGGAGTAGCTCCAGTTCAATAAAAATTGCTGTTTGACCACTCATAGTGGCTCATGCCTCCAATAACAGCACTTGGGGAGGCTGAGGCAGGAAGATTGCTTGAGCTCAGGAGCTTGAGACCAGCCTGGGCAACATAATGAGATCTTGTCTCTACAAAAAATACAAAAATTAGCTGGGCATGGTGGTGGGCACCTGTGGTCCCAGCTATTTGGGTAGCTTAGGTGGGAAGATTGTTTGAGCCCAGGTGGTTGAGACTGCAGTGAATTGGAATTACACCACTGCACTCTAGCCTGGGTGGCAGAGTGAGACCCTGCCTCGAAAAAAAAAAGTGCTGTTTAACACCACCAGCTCACCCTTAAATTCTTTCCTTGGCAAAACCAAGATCCCTCCCAGATTAAGCCCCAGTTTGGGGGCTCACCTGCCTGTCTGCATCTAAACCACAGCCTTGCACAAAAGCCATCACAACCTTACACAAAATACTTCTTTGAAAACATCTGCCCAGTAACTGCCTGTCCAACCTTGGGCTGATGCTTGTTATTGATTGGATTAATGCTTGTTATTGACTAACCCTTGTTACTGATTCTTGTAGCAACCAATAATTGTTCCAAAACAACTTACTATATGTAACGATTCTAACTTTTCCTTTAAAACCCACCCCTTTTTTTTTTTCAGGTCAGGCATAGTGGCTGATGCCTGTAATCCCAACTCTTTGAGTGGCCAAGGCAGGCGATCCCTTGAGCCCAGGAGTTTGAGACCAGCCTGGGCACAACGGTGAAACCTTGTCTCTACAAAAAATACGAAAATTAGCCAGGGGTGGTGGCATGTGCCAGTAGTCCCAGCTACTTGGGAGGCTGAGGCAGGAGGATTGATTGAGCCTGGGAAGTTGAGGCTGCAGTGAGCCATGATTGTGCAACTGCCCAGCCTGGGCAACACATGAGACCCTGTCTAAAAAAAAATTAAAAAAAAAAACAAAAAAAACCTCTTATTTTCCTTTACCTCCTCATGCCGAGACCAGCTCAGTCGGGGAGACCCTAACCCAGCAATGCTAGAGGAATTAAAGACACACACACAGAAATATAGAGGTGTGAAGTGGGAAATCAGGGGTCTCACAGCCTTCAGAGTTGACAGCCCCAAACAGAGATTTACCCACATATTTATTAACAGCAAACCAGTCATTGGCATTGTTTCTATAGATACTAAATTAACTAAAAGTATCCCTGATGGGAAACGAAGGGATGGGCCGAATTAAATGAATAGGTTGGGCTAGTTAACTGCAGCAGGAACATGCTCTTAAGACACAGATCGCTCATGCTATTGTTTGTGGCTTAAGAATGCCTTTAAGCGGTTTTCTGCCCTGGGTGGGCCAGGTGTTCCTTGTCCTTATTCCCGTAAA